CAGTGGATTTCAGTGGATCCAGCTGTTCTGCTCCCCACTCTGTCTCTGGTGAATGCTCTCATCCCCCCATACCTCTGGCCTGTACCCCGGTAATTGTATGCAAAAAAAAAAATTAAAAAGTTACCTGGGAGCTACTTGGACCACCCATGAAGTTTGGGGGGAAGGCATGCCACGGTTCGTGCAGGGCATGCCATCCCCGTGGGGTGGGGTTCTGGGGGCAGTTACCTAAATCTGCAAGAACAAGACTTGCTATCTCCAATACCAATTTTTAAAAAAGATCTGAATTGTTGTTTTAATAATCACCAAAAGAAGAAATATTTACCATCGCCACCCCACACACAACTGTGAATGCTGAATGATAAAGCAAATATGGCTTGAAGGGCTAAGAATGAGCTTGATCCGCCGCCCACCCCAGCAGTCTTACCCTGAGCTATTTACCCACGAGAAATGAGACTTGTGCTCGTGTGTCAGTCCCCATGTAAATGTTCGTTGATGCCCTCTTCATAATCGCCCCTTTCTGGAAACAAGCCAGTGCAAACAAAAGGACCTTAAACATTGCTCAAAAAACAAAGGTAGGGCCTCCCCTGGTGGCGCAGGTGGTTGAGCGACGCGCTGTGAAGCTGTCCGCAGCCTCTGCAGCGCTGGTTCGATCCCAGCAGGCCGGCGAAGGTCCCACATGGCGCGGCAGACCTCTCCTGCAGCGCCCACTGCTCCCCTCAGCAGTGTATTTCATCATTCTGCCTGTTCTGCTCCCCATTCTGTCTCTGGGGAATCCTCTCACCCTCCTGCACATCTGTACCCCGGTTCTTGTATAAATAAAATAAATAAATCTTAAAAAAAAAAGGCAGACTTGGAGAAAGGGAAAGGTGTGCAATGTTCTTAAATAAGGAGACTTGGTATTATAGATATGTAAATTATCCCTAAGTTAATTTATGCAGTTAGTACAATCCTAATGCAAATATAAATGGATTTTTTTCCAGTTTGGAGTAAGATGAAATGAATAAATTTAGTTGCTTACCAAGTTGGTGCTATAATCATATAAACAAAATCATCACAGTAAAAAACTTTAGAATACAAACATTTGACTGTTCATATCAAACAAATCTTGGAGACAAACAGGGCTTAACCTTTATCCCATAGTTTATGTCTAATGATATTAGTAATATCGTTTTTTAAATTTTACATATCATAGAAGAAGGGAAATAAGGGAAATAAGGATATTAATATTGTTGAATTTTCAACCCGGGAGAAAAAAATGAAGGGTAAAATTGCAGCTAAATGAACAATTCTGTAATTTAAGATTAAAAAGAAAAAATAGACATAAAGTAATTTTATCAATTAAAATAATCATAATGATTTTTTTCTTAAAAGTTCATATATCTTATTTCTGTTCAATAAAACACCAAAATAGACTGACAAGCCAAAAGAGTGAACACTGGCAGGGCCCAGGCTGGGGTCACTACCTGCTGTCTCCACACAAGGGCTGGCTGCTGGCACACTGGGCTGGAATGTACTAGATGCACCTGGACTATCTCTCGGAGAGACCAAGGGGATGCCACAGACTAGTGGGGGAAGTGAATGGGCTTGGGGTTTCCTTCGAGGGTGATGAAAATGTTCTGGAATTAGTGGTAATGGTTGTGCAACTATGTAAATATACTAAAAAGCGTAGATTATGCATGGGAAAGGGTAACTTTTATGACATGGGAGTTATATTTCAATAAACCTGCTATTGAAATATTACTTAAATACTGTATTTTTTTTTTTTTGTGGGGCCCTCGCCGGTGGCCGGGGATCGAACTGGCGCTGCAGAGGCTGCGGGCAACCTCGCAACCCAGCGCTCAACTGCTGCGCCACCAGGGGAGGTCCTTAAATACTGTATTTTTAACAACGCACCATGGCAACCCCCTCACCACTGCCACACAGCCACAGGATCTATGACTCACTGGGAGTTTTGAGAAAAATCACTTAACACGGGGATGGTCAGAGAATTAATTTGCTAGGTGAAGACTTTCACTAAACGGTGCAACTGTGGATTCCGGGCGGGGTGGAGGTACTGTAGCACCAATGAGAGCTGAGCACATGGTCCCGATGTGGTTGTTCAGGGCGTTAAACCTTGCAGGCCCAGGGTACACACTCAGGGAATTAGAAAACTGTGAAAAAATGTACAGAGATACAGAATATAGCATCGCTGGAGGACATGGGGAGAATGCAGAATGCAAAAAGCAGACTTCAAGCAAAATGAGTATGGAAAAAAGAGGCAAGAATCCAATGTTTTTTGAAAAAGATTTTCAGCATCTCTTACAGGCACGAGCCGTGAAGGAACTACAGGTACTGGGGAAAGAGATTTTTTTATTCAATCCTGCTGAAGAAAACACCAAAGATGAGCTGGAATTGAAGAGAAAACATCACATTTTTCTTGGCACCATCCACGATCTCCAGCAATATGATGGAAAAAGCTCAAGGAACCAACGCGAGGATGAGGACAGGCCCCTGACCAGCGAGTGCTCGCCCTTCTGAGACCATCAGACCGCAGTGCTGGGACCCGGCTGCGTTTAGAACTCGCTTTGCCCCTAAGATGGTGTTTCTGCAGCGAAATCTTCCCCTTTCAAATACTGACATGCTTTCTAGTCACGCTTCCTGAATGAAAGGAAAATGACTTCAGGAACTATTTGATTTGATTAGAAATACTCTCTTTCTTCAATTTTAGACAGAGGAACCATCATTCTAAGCTGCTTAATAAAATGATTTCAGTGTATTTACTAATATTCTAGGTAGATCTTTAACTGGTAAAACTAATTTGCTTAAAAATAAGTTGAATGTTATGAGAAAGGGGAATTTCTAGCCTAGCCAGGAAACAATACATTCATTTTGGGAAGCTGTCCCCTCTTTTTGGAAAGCGAGACCACTGAATAGCTTTCAAAAGACTTGCAAACCACGCAAAATTTTGTGTATGTGAATTGTTCTGGGGAGAATTTCCGGGACACTTAGAATCACTGGTATAAAAAGGCAATTGAGATATAATAAAGTAGATAAATATGCTTTCATTTCAACATTTCTCTAACACTTGATGAACGTAGGTATAAATTACATTGTTCTGCCCTCTCTTAGGAAAACCTCTTTAGGAAAACCATTTTCGTAGAATCACTTTTACTGGTGAAGTGATGTTCGAGGTAAGTAGCATGCTGCGATTTTCTTGAATAGATGTGATTTTGTGATCTTACAGAAAACCACTAGACATAGGTGGCTCCGTTGTTGACAATGGGACAATTTGATCAAAAAAGGGTGAGTGCAACGGGGTGAGCATGTTGGAACCCGTGAGGGCCTGCTCTAAGCGTTCACGGTTAGAGAAATTCCCACATTGACAGCTACCTGATTAGAGTAGAAAGTTATTGTTAACTTTGATGTCATGATAACAATGTGATTATGTGGTGTTTTTTTTTTTAAAGAGTCCTCTCTTTCAGAAACACATTGTAACTATTTATGGATAAAATAATACATTGCCAGGGATTTATTGCCAAATGACCCGAGGCTGGGGGTGGGTGATTTCACGAAAAAAGAGTGAAACCCGTGAGGCCACAAGCTGGTGGTCTTGAAGCTGAGATAACAGCTGTCTACCGATTAATGTCTCTGAAAAGTTCTGTAATAAAAACACGGAAACAGTCTTCTGAGCGCATACTCAAGAGTTGATTTGATACTCAAAAAAGACAAAAAAGAAAACCAAAATCGAAACAAGCGTGTCTACACTCTGGGCAACAGGCCGGCTGAAGAGGGCCCTCCCCCGCCTCCCTCCAGAAAAGTGAACAGTGAGAGGGAAAGGCGGGCGCGCCCCTGGCCTTTGCATGTGTGACATTTTAGAGGAACAGCCACGCTGGAAGAGGGAAAGTTCTTGCACAAGCATCCCGGCAGCATGGAAAGATCGCCACATAGGAAGCCACCAGGGGCGGTCCTCAGGCAACAACTGACTGAAGCAAGGGTCGGCGGCAGGTGAGCCTGTTGCTGGAAGTTTGGTGGCTTTGCTCGCTGGCAGCCTTTGCGGCACGACAGAGGAGAGCTCGTCCGTGCTGCGGGGAGTCGATCAGCGAAGTACGGGGCGCTGCGCCTGCCAGCTTCTTCCCCCAAGAGCTGACCTGGACTCTGGTCAGGATTCAGGAGGCAACGAATTTAATGACAAGACAATGGACTCACTTTCTTCAGCAAATCAAGGCCATTTATTTTGGAACAAGGGCCGAGGGGCTCCAGGGGGTGTAATAGGAGTCCTTTAACTTAAGACCTACGAGGCAGAGCAAGCGTCTTGTGTGGGGGAAAATACAACTAACTGTACAGTGATGTTCAAGGTTTTTAAAAATCCTAAGTATGTGATAGGGGTAATGATTAATTTTTTGTAAAGATTTATTTTTTATTTACACAAGAGCCGGGGTACAGGCCAGATGTGCGGGAGGGTGAGAGGATTCACCAGAGACGCAGCGGGGAACAGAACAGGCAGACTGACGAAATACACTGCTGAGGGGAGCAGCGGGCGAGACAGGAGAGGTCTGCCGCGCCATGTGGGTTGCTCCGCGGCCGGTGGGGATCGAACTGGCCCTGCAGAGGCTGTGGACAGCTTCACAGCGCTGTGCTCAACCACCTGCGCCACCAGAGAGACCCAGTGATTAATATTTTTAGGTACAGTATGATGAGGCGAGAAAACATCCATGTTCACAGAGTAATATTGCAGTAGATAGGGGTGAAGAGACATGGAATCTGGGGGTTGCTTTCGAATCCTTCAGAAAAAGAAAAAGATGGAGAGGGGAAGGAAGGCGAGGTCAAGCTAACATGGTGGACTCTGATCACTGATGAGTCTGGTCACAGACATGGGGTCCTTACTTTGTTTTCTCAACCTTGTAGAACAGCATGGAACAGGTCTGTGCAACAGCTGCTGTGCCCGTGGCCAGGTGTTTCAGCAGATGTGTAAGGGGAAGGCGTGGGCACCTCAGAAACTATTTTGCACACACTAGGCTTATCATATTATTTATTCAATGGTAATTAAAATCCAGACCGACTGGCAGATGGGCAAGTCATTGAAAGTTCCTTAGTCCAACTAGCCCACAAAGAAGTCAATTTCAGAGAGATAAGATGGCAGAAGGAAGCAGTTGACTACTGTCCAAAACAACATTTGCCATGGTCTTGAGTTCTTGGAAGTATTTGATAGAACATACTGGTAATACTTTCTAGCTTCTGGGAAAGTTGGACTTGGAAGGCCAAAGTAAATAGAGTTCTTATATGTCTGAACCCTGAGGGTGCACTTGGCTGACCAAGGGGGATTTGTAGGAGAGGAAAGACAGGCTGCTCAGCAGCAGGAGGAAGGCAGCCAGAGCTGCCACGAAGATGGCACTGCCAATATCCTGAATGTCTGGCTTGAAGGGCAAATGGAGCAGGGGCGGGAAGGCCACCCCTTCTTCCTTCATGATGGAGTAGTAATTCCAGAGCACAGTGATCGAGGTACACACGCTGGCCACCATGCTCAGAATTCCCGAAGCCATGAACTGGTGGCAGGCGGCATTCTTATGAGGAGGCCCCATGTACACGTTCCTGAGCGCAAATATGATCAAGGCTTTTCCCATGAGCCCCATGATGCAGGCGGCCAGCATGAGGCTCTGGGTGACACGAATGGACAGCGGGAGGAAGGCGTCGCGGTGGGAGTAATAGTAGCAATGTGTGGGTCTGTTGAACTTTCTGTTATGGTGCTGAATACAGACTTTCCACAGGCCCACACAGGCCACGCCAGAGGGGGCGACCAGGGGCTTTTCCATGTACCACACACGCCACTCGTCAAGGCCCATGGAAGTGGTGCAGAGGATCCATCCGATGGTGAGCAGAGCGAAGCCTGCTATCTGGCAATTGGCGTTATTGATGAACAAGACCATGCTGGCCAGGGGAACTGCAAACAAATACAGGGCATCATGAGGGCGGGGCCTTCGGGCCTGGAGCATCCTCCCAGCCAGCCCCGGGGCAGAGCAGCACCAGCAGGAAGTGCTCAATTTGAGAGAGACATTCGACTCCTGCTCCTGCTGGTGGCAGAGCAGAATGAGCAAACTTGGCTGTATTTGCAATATTTACCAAAAACCTTGCACTGTGCAAACCTCCAAAGAGGCAGTTATACTTCTGGGCATTACTCCAAAGACGTAATTAAGGTGGACCACACATATTTAGTCACAGAGATGGCCATCCCGGCGGTCTGTAACATGGAAAAGTGGGCACTGAGGTCAGGCCCTACGACAGGGCCTGGTCAATAACGAGCGCCACAGCCAGGCAGCGGCGCCCAGGCTCATGAGCAAAACAGCTGCGGCCATGCGGGCCGGGGTCGGGTGTCTGCTTTTTCGCTTTGCACAATGTTTTCAAGGATGTTGTCACCTACATGAGTAGTTTGTTCCTTTTTCTGGCAGAACAGGATTCAATGGCAGGGACGTGCCACCATTTCCACATCCATCTGTGTCTGGCCACTTGGGTTGGCCCCACGTGTTTGGCTATTATGAATAATGCTGCTATAAACGTTCGTATCGAAAGCTCTGTCCAGGTGGGCACACGGGCTCACTTCTCGGTATAGAGAACTAGGGGTGAGGCCGGTGGGCCCTACGGCGAAAGGATGTTGAACTTTCTAGAAAGCGCTAAGCCGCTTCCCCAAGGGGCTACTCGATCTTACCTTTCCGCCAGCCGCGCTTGAAGGGTCGTTTCTCCCAGTCCTCTCTATTGTTATTTTTACTCTTCGAGCGCAGCCATTCGAGTTGCCCCAAAGGAAAATGTCTATCACAGCCCGTCAAGCACACACAGCGGCCACCCGCCAGCGTGACAGAATCCAGGCGATGAGTAGAACTTGGGGGGGGGGTCTAGATGGAGTAAAGCATTTTTAAGTGGATCAGAGGGATTAAGAGGGTTTTAATTTTTTTTTAAAGTTATTTAAATATTTATGTATGAAAGAACTGAGGCGGTGGAGGTAAGAGGCTTCACCAGAGACAGAGTGGGGAGCAGAACAGGCAGATCCACAGAAATCCACTGCTGAGGGGAGCAGCGAGGAGGCAGGAGAGGTCTGCCGCGCCATGTGGGCCAGCTCCCTGGCCGGGATGGAAGTCAGGCCGCAGAGGTGACAGTGCTGAGACTTAACCCCTATGCCACCAGGGAGGCCCAGAGGGTTTTTTGTTTTGTTTTGTTTTGTTTTTTGGTTTTTTTACTATTACAAAAGTTTATTTAATAAAGAATTTCAATAAGAAAACGCATATGACCCATTTTTTCTATCATAGAAAAAAGATGCCATGAAGAGAGGTTTGTGGACGCACCTCGTTCCTCTGAACGCAGCCACTGTTTACACTGATCCCGAGGCGTCTAACGTGATGAGGCTGTTTCCTCCATTCTAGGGTTGGCCTGTTGCCCTCGGGTGCCAGCTCTGCACATTCACCCACCCCAAGACTCACAAAGGGGTCAGATCCCCAGGCTACCATGGGCATGTCTGCCACCACTGAATTCCAATGATCAACTTTTTGCCCAGGCTTTTGTCAACTCAGGAGGGTGAGCATTGCTCATGTCCACTCCGGGAGTTCCAAGATGCCTGCAGATGAAATTCGAGCCCCCCTCACTCCCACTGGGATTATGAGGTTTTGTTGGAAGCTGTTTGTATTTCGAAGAATCCCGTACATAAAGCAAAGTGCACATGGCCTAAGCATGCAGACCCATGCGTCACCCAGGCAAGTGCCCCGGAGCCCCCTCCTAGTTTAACACACGATCATGTCCATGCTTGCTTTTATAACGTTTCACCCCAGTTGCACTCTGAACATCTTGGTTCCACCTTGCCTGCTTTTCCATATAGGAGAGTGCACTAGGGGCTCCTGTGTCACGTGTAGAGACAGGAGACACGTTTATGAAAGCAAAGTTCGGGGTGCAGGAAATGGCTAAAAGCTGTTCCCTCTGGGGAGGTCATCTGGGGTAGGAAGCAGGGGCAAACCATCCCCCTTCCTGCCCAGAACTGGGTCCTAGGAGGCGGGGTGAGGGGCTGGAGGCTGGCTCAGGCAGGACAGCCCCCCCACCCACTCCGCTGCACTTAAACGTGTTGATGTGGGGAGCTGTCTTTCAAGGGGTGACTTCAGCTGGGAGCATAGACACTTGTGCACATGCCACGTCTCTTGGCTGTGTACCCAGGAGTGGACTGCTGGGTCCCAAAGGAACCCTCCATTTAACATTTTGAGCAACCACCAAAGTGTTTTCCAAAGTGGTTGCACCTTTGAAAATCCCCGCAGCAACATATAAAGGTCCAACTTCTCCCGCTCCTTGCACACTCGTTATTTCTCACCCACGTGGGCTGAGATGGCTCGGGTTGGGGATGTGATGCACTTACTTCAGTGTCAAAGAACCTTAGGAATAAGATTGAGCCGAATCGCGCTTTCTGATTATTTCTGGTCTTGTGACGTTCAAAGCACAAATATTCTAACCAGACTTGGCTGATGACCCGTGGATCACCACCCGCCGAGCCAGGGCCGCGCTGTGAGTTCTACACGCTTCCCCAGGAGGGTGCCTTTGCGGTGAGTGTTCCAGGAGGCGTGAGCCCCCACGAATGCGTGCTACCTCCCCGACGCATGCGTCCTGTGCGGTCCTTGGCTCGTATTCGAGTCTCTGGCTGAGATGCCATGTGGCTTTTTCTCATTAGCCAAGGAGGCTAAATGTGAGGCCACCTGTGCTGGATAATTGTGGTGTGAGAAAGGGGGAGACTAAAAAAAAAGGGTAGGATGTCGAGGACGCGTGCAGACAGGCGGTCTTGGGAGAGGGGGGCTTGCCAACGGGCTTGGAACAGAGCAATGAAGGACCGAGAACCTAAAAAAAGACACCCAAGGACAGCCCAGTGGTGCCAAGGCCCAGAGACCATGGATGACACATGTACCAGGTTCTGCGCGGGGCAGGAGGGCCTGCTGGGAATGGCCAGGCCAGCGAGAGGTTGGCTCCTTCCACCTCCCCTGGTCTTCACGGGCTGTCCCGACCCGCAGGATGCGGAGGCACGGAAAGAGAAGGGCTGAGGATTGAAACGAGGGGCTTGACAACCTGACGCTAGCGTTTGCTTCTTTATTTTTCCTTTTCCTTTACTTTCACCTTTCCCTATCTGTCTACCTTCCCTGGCCTTCTCTCTGCTCCGCTCGCAGCGCTCTCCTCTCTCGTGGTTCTCCTCTTAAATCTCTTTTTTTCTCCCTCTCTCTCCCGCGCTCTCCTCTTATACCCTCGTAGCTCCTCCCCCCGGACCTCCCAGTCTCCTGTGCTTTACAGGAAAAACCTGTGGTTCTCCGAAGGCGAAACGGTAAAGCGAACTCATGGCACACAAACGCAACACGGCACATACTCCGGGCGGCTCCGGACCACGGGCGAGCGCCAAGACATGGCTCTACCAGAACCCACGGCAGGAGAGCCTGGAACGGGCAGCGACGCGAGCCTGGCCCTCACCCGAGAGCAGAAGTAACACCATGTGGCCCGCGGGGCAACCATAGGAAGGGGGACTGAGAAACACCACAAAGTCTCCCAAAGTTAGACATGGGGTCCCCCACATCCGGGTGTGTTCCCAGGGAGAGGAGCCACACACTTATTCCAACAGGTGCCTGCACGCCCGTGTTCACAGCAGCATTATTCACAATAGCCGGGAGAGGGGACAAGCCAGGCGTCCACCAATGGGGAAGCGGGTGGACAAAGGTGGTCAGCCCCCCACAGGACGCTGACCAGTCCTAAAGTGGGGGAAAGGCTGACACCTGCCACCACAGGACGGGCAATGAGGACTTTACGCTAAGTGAAGCAGGCCATCGGGCAGGGACAGGCCTGGTGTGACTCCACTCACGTGAGTCACATTCACAGGGACCCACTGGGGGCGGGGGGGGGTGGGGACCTGCGGGAGTTTGTTGGGCAGGGAGTTTCGGTGTGAGGAGATGAGAAGGTCTAGAGGAGGGCGGGGGTGTTGGCCACACACTGTAAACACGCTTCGTGCTGTTCGGCCGGCCACTTCACAAACGGGAAATGATCGGTTTGACGTTATGGAAAAGTCTATGTCACTGACCAGGACGCAGTCTCCAAGGAAATGATGGCCGGGGCGGAAGGGGGCAGCCCTTCAGCGGGCCAGACCCTCGGTCCTTTAGCAGCTCCTTGCTCTCGCTCTCGGAGGATCTGAGTCCTCAGCCACACTGAGGCCAGGCCTGGGCCCAAGGCTCTCTCCCTGCCTCCTGCCGCGTCACATTCCAGGACCATTGTCCTCATCACCAACATTCTCAGGTGCCAGGCGCTAGGCGCCCCGGCAGCCCGGGGGGCCTTCTTCTTCTTCTTCTTTAAAGATTTATTTATTTATACAAGAACCGGGGTACAGGCCAGATGCGCGGGAGGATGAGAGGACTCCCCAGAGACAGAGCGGGGAGCAGACCAGGCAGACTGACGAAATACACTGCTGAGGGGAGCAGGGGGCGAGACAGGAGAGGTCTGCCGCGCCATGCGGGCCCCTCGCCGACCGGCTGGGATTGAACCGGCGCTGCAGAGACTGCAGACAACTTCACAGTGCAGCGCTCAACCGTCTGCGCCACCAGGGGAGGCCCCAGGGTGGGGGGGGCTTCTTGACCTTGGCGCTGTCCTTGGTGTCTTCACCGTGCGTCCTCTTTGCTGCTCAGCCTTTGGGGGAGTATGTGCGCACCATTGCCCCGTCAGCCGCCATTCCAAGGTCTATGTCCATGACCCAAACGTCTCCTAAATCACTTCCTGAAACACTTCCCCTCTCATCCCTAGAAATGGAGTCGAACCCACAGGCAGAATGGCCAGCGCCTCTTTAAAGCCATGGCGCTGGGCACACACAGGAGTCAGTGGAGGTGCCCCCCACATGGGTGGCTTAGTGGTGAAAGACACTGGTAGCTCAGCTCGTGCCTTAGGAAGACACCCCGAAGTGTGGGAGACGAGCCCTAGTTGCGTCTGGGATCCCACGCCTGCTGGGATGTGGCACTAAGCTAGGGCCAGGGGAGGTGCTTGTTACGTGAGGAGCAACGTGCAGACTGGCGGTAGCCTCGAATAGGGCTTCTGGGAGAAACAGGGCTGTCAGCAAGGCACGTCACGTCAGCTCCCCAACACCTAGGAGTCAACTTTGTACAGACGCCCAAGCCCACCGCCACCCTCGGCTTCCGGGGTCTCTAGGACAAGGAACTTCCTCCCAGATGTGCACCAAGATGCGAGCGGCTCACACGCCCCGCGGACTTCCTGGCGGAGCAGACCTGGGGCACAGGATAGATCTTGAAGCCCCTCTCAGAGAAGATGCTCAGTGAATTATTTTGTGTCCTCACGGCGGAACCGCGCACAGAAATGAACGTGGAGATGAATCATAAGGGGAAAGTTCCGATGCTGCAGATCTCAACATTACGAGATTGGCGCTGAGACACGAAGGGTCCAGGCACAAGGACAGGCCTCAAGGACAAAACCTTGCTGTCCCCGCAGGCTGGTTAACCTGGCGACTGAGGCCGGGACATCTGCTGCCATCACCTCCTTGGCTGGTTGGCTTGTTTCCCGCTCCGGAGCTCTCCTCCCGGAGGACCGAGCGGCTGCTCTGGGGAGAAGGGGGCCGTAGGCCCGGAAGAAGAGCCACAGGCCTAGCGAGCCGACCAGTGCAGACTGGAGCTGCGGGCACACGGCCTCGGGGTCATGCTCATCCGGGAGACCGTGGGGAGCCGGCTCGGCGGGGCCCAATGTACAGCGATGGGTGCTCTCCTTGCTCCCTCGGCCAATAGTTTACTTCCTTCCCTCCCCTGCCCCGTCCCCAACCCACAGCACCCCCGGCCCTGGCAGCTGGGAGCCATCATGCCCCCGGGCATCAGCAGGCCTGGGTGTGGGAGCGGGAGCCGGGGGTGACGCCGTCTTCACACCTCCCGTGTCCACTCCGCCCGGGACCCGGACTCCTTCCACTAAGGGGTGCAGCACGTGCCACAGCCTCTGCCTCTGGGTTCGGACACGTGACTGGCCTCGAAATGGAAGGGAGGTGGGTGAGCCAGGACCCCAGAGGGGAGATGTGCCTAGTGACCGGCAGGCCCCTTGGTGCATCTGCCGCTGGCCAAGCGTGGAGGAGAGCGTGTCTCCGGCAGTGAGCTAAGTCCACGCTTCCCACTGCGCAGGGCGGCGTGTCCCAGGCATCGTGCGGCCCCCCGGGGCAGAGTCACAGAGCCACCTGCACCCCCAACTGACCAGTGACTGAGACGAGAATCTGACGATGGGGAGGATAATTGATTCTTTTTAAAAAATGACATAAATTAGGTAAGTCAGACGTGCTTCATTCAGAGACACTTTATTGTGTGAACGTCAAGCAGGATGGACTGTTGAGAGGTAAGTGGTAAGTGTCGAGCATGAGACTGGAACACATTCTCCACGGTGACTGCAGGATGAGAGCCATGTGAGCTGCCTGACTCTCGCTACCCAGAGCATTCCAGAACTGGCTGTCACAGAGGGTGAGCCATCAGCCACCGCCTAAGAATGCCAAGGGCCAACGTTAGCACCAGGTTGTTCTCGTGTGCAGTAGCGCAGTATATACAACGTTATGTACATTGCCTCCCCGGAAGCTTTGGGCTCCCGACAAGCAGACGCGTGGGGGCAAACGGGATTGGACAGGATGGGGGAGTGTGCTTGGCGAACAGGGTCACAGAGCACGGCCTATCGCTACACGGAGGAGAAAGTTCTCAAAGGACATCAAGGGGCTACACACAGACAGCACAGATCCCATTATTCACATTTCACATACACATCACCAAAGTGACCACAACACTGCATCGGAGGGGGGGGAATCACAGATGAAAGCCTGGTCTAAATTAAAAACAAAATTCATCGACATTCCTGGGGTCGTCTCCATGGGGGAGAGAGACGGAGGTCTGGGGGTGGCCGTGCTCCGAGCTGGTGGCCACATCGGGTGGGAGAGAGGTGTCACGTCATTGGCAGAATGAGCGTTTTTTCCAGGTCAGAAATAGCTTAATTTAAGGGGAATAAAAACGTCTGACAGGGTGTTTCTCTGCTGGAGGTGAGGCGCCTGCGTCAGAGGCCTGCGGTCCGACCCCTCTGCGGCGGCCTGGGTCCAGCTTGTGTCCCGGGCGGTGCAGGCCACAGTCCTGTGCTGGGAAGGCAGCCACTGCTGAGAGCGGCACCCCCACCAGCCGGGGAGCCTCTGTCACAGGCTACAGGGGAATGAGGGTTCAAGTGACCCCCACTAGGACCAATGTCTGACTAGTGCGCCTTAAAATGCTCATTGCTGACCACTGAGCATTCATCAGAGGAGGGACTTGCTTGCCAGCGCCTCGGCGGGGGGTCAAACCAGGCCAGCAGCCAGGCCCGCGCCCTCGGCTCCCACGGCCACGCGGGGCAGGTCTCTAGGGCTCCCGATGGAAGTCGCGGCCTCGGACACGACTGTGGGTGCCCTCCGCGAGCCTGCCCCTCTCCTACTGGCCGGGCCCTGGTGTTCAGGGAATTAACGTGAGGGCCGCGCGCCCAGCGCGTCTGTAAGCTCAGCGGCTGCAGGGCCCAGGCGTCCCTGAGAGCCCCGAGGGAGGCCCCTGCCCTGCCGGCAGGCGGAACGGCAGAAGAGCCCACAGAGCGAAGACCCATGTGCCTCGAGGGCCGCACCCACGCAGAATGAGGTCCTGGTGGGAAGGTCCGCTCAGAAACAGCGCCTGGGGCTCGGAAACAAATACGCAGCCAGCGCTTTATCAGCAGACGCTTGGAACCAGGTTGTTTTACTCCGGCCACCTCGGGAGGCGACTCGGAGCTCACCCATGCCCCGCTTGCCCGGTGACCACCTGCAAAGGCTTCAGCTTCCAAGAGGCCCGTCAGAGGCCACTGCCCTGAATTTCTCCTTCCGCTGGGTGACAAGCAGGGACACAGGGGCAGCCTGCGCCCGGGATGGTGCCAAGACAGGGGCCAGGGTGGCCCTCGGGGCCTCCGGCTGCTGCCCAGGCAGGGGGAGGGGGGCACGCTGAGGAGGGGCAGAGCCGCGGCCTGACGCCACGTGGACGCACAGAAGGACGCAGGACGGGCGTGGCCTGCTCGGCACTGGGGGGAACGAAAACGTGACACAACATCTTCCCAGGGGGCTTATTGCTTTTCTCAGAGCACGTGGGCACCGGAGAGGTCTGTGCCCACAGGAATGCAGGTGGGTGTCACCGGCGGCCGGGGAGGCGCTCCACAGGGCCCCGCCTCGGCCGGGAGGCGCCTATTTGCCTCTCTCGGGCTGAAGGCTGTCGAACAAGCACTTGAGCTGCTCCTCGCCCAGGTGGATCTTGTCCTCCAGCTCACGCTGCTCGATGATCAGGGCTGACTTCATCTTGACGAAGTGCTCGTAGTCGGCCAGGCTGTCCTCACTGAGGTAGCTGGCCAGGATGTCGAAGACGATGCGCTCGCGGCGGTCCAGGTTCTCCTTGAGCTCCTTGGCGTCTTCGTGCTGCTGGACCAGGACCCTCTGCTTCTCCAGCAGCGATTGCTGTGGACAAAGAGCAGCCGCTGAGGCCAGGAGCAGCGCGAGGGGCAGGCGGGGCCACGGGGAGACCCTGGGGTAGGGGCACTGGGCATCCTGGCCGCAGGTCCCTGGGGGCTGCCCCTCCAGCCTGAGCCCCCGCCCCTCCCCACGGCCTTGGGCGCCAGAGCCATGGGGGCTAGAACCCACGGAACTCTGAGGGGTGCCAAGGTGAGGGCACTGAGGGCACTTCTGGTGACAAAGGCCCCGGTCCCTGGGAGAACTGACGCGGGCACCTCCCTCCGCAGTAGGGGGGTCTCCACGCCCTCTGGCTGCAGGAGGAGCCACTGAGCACACTGTAGAAAGGCAGGATGGAGGTGGGAAGACACAGAGGAGGGGGGCGGGTGCCCGTACTCCCCGCAAGGGTCCAGCTCTGGGGGACACAGAGGGCCCCACGCCCCAATCCGAGCCACGGTCACTGTCCACCTGCAGAACAACCGGTTTCCCTACAGCCTCCAGGCTCCCTGAGACGAAGGAAGAGATGGACTAAGTGTCTCGGGGGTCTGCGGGGAAGGGGCCCGACCCACATCGGATGCCTCAGTCTCCAAGCACAGGAAGGCACAGCCACGCAACTCCTGCCAGACGGCAGACAGACGCTCACTGAGCCTGGCTTGTGGCTCCGGCTGTGAGAATCAGCTGGGCTCGCTGGCGACAGGAAGCTGCAGGGCCGGGAAGGGCTTCGGGCACGCGGCTGCCCGTGTCCGCTTCCTGTCTGGAGGGACAAAGGCAGCCTCTAGACCCTGACTCCGCTTCTGTCACCTCGCTAGATTGTCTCTGGAAACCTTCGGTTCCCCAAGCCTGTGCCGCCGGGCACAGTGATTCGCACCCGCCCTGGCTGCCCTGGACACTTGGGCTACCCCACCCCTGGCCTGGCGCAGGCCTGCAGCTCAGCAAGGCGAGGCAACATCGGCCATGCAGCCGGGATGTGAGCCTGTCTCACCTCCAAACGGGCGCCCAGGGAGGCGGCGAGGGTCCTGGAGCCTGAGCCCAGGGGAACATGGGCCAATCCCTGCTGCTGTGCTCCTCTGCTCCCCCAAACCCTGAATAGGTCTGCCAGTTCTGTGACGGTGCGTGCGGGATGGACCAAAGCTGAGTGGCAGAGACCGCACCGCAGCCACAGGTCGCCTGCCACCGGGCGGGTTCTGAGAAACGTGCTCACAGATGAGGCTGTGCCCACGTCAAATCCCGACAGGGTGGCTGCCACACCCCCAGAGTGCGTGACACAGCTCCTGGGCCTCGGTCACACGCATGCTGTGCCATCCCACGACCTGCGACTGTTGTCGTCTCATTTAAATCTACACTTGGGAGATTTTCAAGGATTATAAAGAAGCCTCTTTCTTCTTGCTGCTATTTTCCTGTCTCCCAAGAAATTGGGCCAAGCTCACAAAGCAAAGTGCAACATGCACATAACCCACGAGGCTCAGGAGCCAAAGCCTGTTACTTTTTAAGTCCCTATACAGCGTGCAGGACCGCCCGAAATCACGCCAAGATCTCCTGCGCAGTCTGAAGCCACCCTCATCTGCACAGGGAATGTTTTCACTCCGCTTCCAGAGAAGCTAGGCCTCTTATTAACAGCAAAGACCATCGTTAGGAAGGTTGTTAGGTACAAAGACCCCCATAAGCAGATGTTTGCTGGTCTCTGATCTAGCAAGTGGCCTGCGGTGGTCTACCAGGCCCTCTGACAGACGTGCGGCTCAGGAGGTCCATCTCTCCACACGTGGGGTGCTAGTCACCCGGAGGGCAAGACGAAACATTGCTGGCACAGGCCAAAAGCCAGGCCCCAGGGAGTCACCTGCACTGCCCAGGTCAGAAGGTCAAAGGCAAATATGGACTTGAATCAGGCATGACTCAAGGGGGCAAGGCGCTGAGGAAGCCGGTGGACACTAGCGAACGCAAGCTTCTGAGGCCTTGGAGCCGGCGGAGAGGGGGAGGGGCAACGCCCCAAGCTGCTCGCATCAGGAAAGGGAGCCAGTGAACAGGCCCCGAAACTCCTCAAGGCTGCTTTGCGGCCTGGAAGACGCAGCGCACGCTAGTGGAGTCTAACACCGAGACGGCGGTCTGCCAGGGCCTGGTGGGCGCCGCTGACACACAAGGTGAAGCTCATTTCCTAGCCGGGGGGCATCGATGGGCAAACGACCAGCAGCAACGTGTGGAAAAGAGCCCAGAGGTTTTCTGGAAGGGAGGCAGCGGCCTGCAGACCACACGTATGTGCGCGAACCCTTAGCCCCTTGGTCCCTGGGCTCAAGATAGAGGTGGCCCTGCAGCCGCCCCGGCGCCTACCCCACCAGGGGTCAGCGGCTGCTCCAGGCTATTGACTTCCTCCCCACACCCCCAGGAAAGGCCCCTGGGGACACCCCGCTGCAAGCCGGCCAGCTGGACTTCCCCACATCCCCGGGAAAGCCCCCCTGGACCCACTGCTGCAGGTCGGCCAGCTGGACTTCCTCCCCACACCCCCAGGAAAGCCCCCCGGGGACCCCCTGCTGCAGGTCAGCTGCGCCTGCACCTACCCGGTCGCCAGGAGAAGCGCTACCGTCCAGGTTGTTGAGGGCGTTCTCCACGCGGGCCAGGCGGCCTGAAAGGGACAGCAGCAGGTTCACCACCTTGTCCAGGTCCCCGATGAACATGCGGAACTTGTCAAACTCATTGGGCTTGCAGACGTCCTTGGCGATGGCCTCCACCTCGTCCCCCAGCGCGCCGTTGGCCCGAATGTCCTCCAGCAGGCTCTCGCGGGCCTCCCGGAGCACCTGCAGCTTGCGGCTGAGGCTCTCGATGAGCTCCTGCTGTGGGCACAGGGCAGGGATTGTGAGGGTGCCAGCTCCAGAGGGGGTGCCAGCTCCAGAGGGGACGCCAGCTCCAGAGGGGACGCCAGCTCCAGAGGGGGTACCAGCTCCAGAAGGGACGCCAGCGCCTGCCTCTGGGGCGGCCGCAGCAATGCGTGGAACACCAGCACACTGTTCAGCCCTGCGGGCCACACTGGCAGTATAGGGACGGGTTGGCGAGCTAGGCAGGGCCGCCATGACCAGTCAGGCAGGAGAAGCAGGGAGCAGGGGGAGAGAGCCGACGCCTGTGACCTTTGTCTCGGGTCCTGCTCTCACAGACCATCTCCAGCCGGCACGTATGCATCGATGTTAAAGCTCGGACAGCAGCCCTGACACTGGCACTCGTGGCAGTGATTCTGTCCCTACCGTGAGCTCATGGCCACCCACTCTTTAGTCCCTGACCTCTTCTCTGAGCTTCCCTTGCTTGGCCACACACGCTTCCAGCCATGGGTCTCTGCAGCTTCTCCGACATCCTACCCCAGACCCTCTGCATCCGCCGGGCCCACACCTGGCCAGCCGGGACACTCACAGGGCTGCCCTCCGGGCACTCCAGCTCCCTGTCCAATCATCCCTTCATCTGTGCCTCCTCCATCATCACCCTCCTGCTCTCTCTATCCCTTCACCTGGTTTTCATTTTTGTACCGCCAACAGGTTACATTGGGGTTGGCAAACTTATGCTGCAAAGGGCCAAGTAGGAAATAGTCTCGACTTGAAAGGCTTCACGGTCACCGTTGCAGTGACTCTGCTGTGCTGCTGTGGCCAAAGCCTTGAGACACTGTCTGCCCATGAACCGAGGTGTCTGAATGACACTTGATTTGCAAAGACAGATGACCAGATCTGGCTCCCGGGCTGCAGCTTGCTGACTGGTGTGTGTACATTTCTGTCTCGTGAGGATGCCACGAGACAGAAGGGCTCTGTCCTGCTTCGTCCACTGTGGAGACAGTGTCTGGGGCGAGAGCAGAGCGCCAAGCCCCGGGCATGGTAGAGCCCCCCATCCCCGGAAGGGCAGTGCCACGCGCTCATTGGCATCTCTGCTGTCCTACCTTCTTCACTGACAAGTCGTGGTCCAAGTCACTTCCTGAGTCCTCCTCAGGCTCCTGCTGCTCCTGCAGGTCCTTCATCTTGATCAGCAGCTCAGCCTTGGGGGCTGACGTGCTGTAGTAGGCGGAGCTGGTGGCCAGCGGCATGGCCACAGGCGTGCTCGGCTCCTCCTTCCTAGGAACGACAGGAGCAGGTCAGCAGGGATGTCCCCTGGGGCCGGGCCGGGCAAAGGTGGCCTAGCGGAGGCGCGTGAGACAGCAAAAGTGGCAGCCAAGAGCAGGTGGCAGAGTTAGAACTGCCAACAGCTTGCCGATGACAACGGGCGTTGTCTTTACAGCGGGGAAGGGGGCAGTGAAGAGGCATGGCTAAAATCCTCCACCTGAGAGTGGGACAGCGACCGGTATCAGTGGGGCGCAGGGACCCCAGACGCCCATGTGTCCCCCACCATCCCACTAGCTACCACCAGGGCTAGCTCTGCAGTCTGGTCCATCTGGCCCTCCTGCTCCCTCTCCGCTGCCCCACAGGGCGCCCTCTACTGTGCACGCAGATGCTTGCAGGGACCCGGACTTCAGTGCCTATTTCTGCTTGCGGGCACCTGGCATTTCAGGCACCTGAGATTTTCACTCTCTGTTGTGGTGGCCTGGCTGTCCTGGGTTTTGGGGTGTGGCGCAGCACCCTGGCCCCCACCCTCTGGATGTCGGGTGTGACAACCAAGCTGGCGGATCTGGCCCCCGGTTGACAACTGCCGCTTGGTAGAGAAGCAGGCGTGGGTGTCTCCCTCAACCACCTTGGCCTCCCGCCGAGAAAGAGCAGGTAGCGCTGTCAAGACTGTCAGTCCCTGACGTCGACACCCCCAGGAATGAGGCCTGTCTGCCTCAGTTTCCCTTTCAGGAGGCTCCAGCAGCAGCAGAGGTAAGCAAAGGGTGGGGAGCGCTTAGGACCGCATGCTCCTCCCCCTCCCTCGGCCCCAGCCCTGGCCCTACCAGGGGCTTTGGCGGCATGAGGCGCACTCACTTGTCCTCCGGGGCCCGAGGAGAGGGGACTTTGGGGAGCAGCTTCCTCCGCTGCTGAGCTTCCTCCAAGAGGTGCTCGTCTTTGGGGAAGATGCCCTCCATCAGGTCCATGGCGGTCCTCATCTTCACGCGGGGGTCCAGGATGTCGGCCAGGGACTTGTCCTTGCCCACGATCTCCCGGGCCAGCTCCTCCGACTTCAGGTCCTCGGCCGTGCGCTCCTTGGCCTTCACGTAGCTGAGCGCGGCGGGGGAGGCGCGGCTGTCCTGGCCGGGGGGTGCGGGCTCGGCGCCCTGGCGGCTGTACACACAGAAGCTGGAGTAGGACTGCTCCGACGTGCGCAGCGTCCTGAGCTGGTCCTTCTCCAGCCCGCTGGGCAGTGCGGGTGGCTCGGCGGCGCGCGCCAGGCCCTGGCGGCTCTCCTTCTCCGGCTGGCTCTCTGCGTGCACGATCTTGATGGGCACCATCTTCACCGTGGTGTTGTTGTCCATCACCCGCTCGATCCTGGAAAAAGGAGCCTTCAGTCAGCCGAGGCCCTCGCAGCGGCCTCACGCTGTGGCTAAAGGTGATTCCGAGGACAAAGAGCCAGTGCTTTTGGGAAACGCCTGCCTGGCCCCGCTGTGGGAGTGTGGGCCAGAAAGGGGCACTCCCTGGCACCGTGGGTACCCAGTACCCCGTGGGAAAGGCTAGTCTTGAGCTCACTAGAGGTTTCCTGACCCAGGAGGCTGCAGGTTCGCCCCAGGACCTGCTTAAAGATCCTAACTCTGGAGGCCGAACCAGGCATCTTTCAGGCGCGACCCCACTGTGCCCCACCCCCAGAGAGGCACAGGATGGAAGAGATGCAGCCGCCACCAGCAGGGACAGTACCTGGTAGAATTCTCATCCTGGATGAGCAGGGGCGGCTTGTCCGTCAGCTTCTGGGGGGCAAACTGCGGAGAGGGGGAGCGGGAGGTCTCCATGGTGGCCGTGTGCGCGGGCGGGCGCGGGGCTTCCTGGCAGGCGGCACGGGAGTCTACATGCTCGCCAGCTGCCCCCGGCTCGTCTGTGGGCGCGCTTCTGTGCGGCCTGTCCGCCGAGGTGCCGGGGCTGTGTGACAGAGACAGGCGGTCCAGGCACACGTCCAGGGCCGCGGGGGATGGCGTGGGCAGGGGCCTGCCCGGCGCGGCCAGGTGGGCTGACGCAGGTGCGCCAGCCGCGCCCCTCGATGGCCTGGGCTCGCGTCGCGGGGGCGGGGGCCTCTGTGGGGCCGGCCTCTTGGCAAGCGGCAGCGCCAGGGGCAGCGGGTCTGCGGGCTTGAGCTCCTCGGCGTGTCTGCTGCTGTGAGGTAGGCCGCCTGCTCTGCCACCACCGTCCCGGGCTCCCGCTGCGGTTTCCGGGGCGCGGGCCGCTTCAGAGGCCTGGCATGAGGGCCACGGGGCGCCCCGTGCTCCTGGAGCGTCTCCACGGCGCGCGTCTGCGGGTCTAGAGGAAGAAGGTGCACAGATGAGCGAGGACTCGGGGGACACTCGTGTGCCACAGCGACACCCGCACCCTGAGCTCCGAAACCGTCGCCGATCCACGCGTGTTCCCCACTCCCGCCCCACTGCCACCAGGCGCTGCCTCCAGACCCGCACCGCACAACAGCGGACCACGCGCGAGTCCTCCGACAGGCCGTGGGGGGGACACGCGGAACACACCCCCCGAGCACACACAGACTGCCTTTCCGGGCAAGAGCAGCGTCTCCCATGTGGCTTGCTTTGGGAAATGTGTGCACAGCAGGGCGAACTAAGAGGGGCCACAGATCAATGCGTCGGTACAACCTACGCGCGCATACATGCATGACCGGGCCCGCAGGTCCCCGGGGCCACAGGGAAAACTGGGGCCAACGACCAGAAAGCTCACAGCCAGGCCCCCGTGACAGTGACCTCCCGGCCTCCTCCCAGCAAAAGGGCACAGAGGAGCCTCTGCTGAGCCTATCACTCGAGGGAAGAGCGTTTACAGCTGGGGCGACCCCTCTGAGTCATCGGGGGGCCCTCGTGAGCCAGCGGTGCAGTCGGAGGTGTAACCAGTTCACTAGTGAGTGCACAGAAGACCCGCCCCAGCCAGTCGGGGAGTCTCGCCCAGCACCCTGGGTGGGGCCCCTCCTGGGACAGGACCCCAGGCATGACAAATGTCCCAACCCTCCCGGGCCGTGGCAGTGCCAGAGGAGTGCCCGGGGCCCGTCCCTTGTTACAGGCTGGGGACAAGGGTTCCAGGGCGACTCCTGTGTAGAACCCAGAGCACAACCCACTTCCCTCCACTTCTTCTTTGTGAGGCAGCTGGGCTGTGCCCCCCACCCTGCGGAGCCCAGGCAGAGACAGTGGGGCTCAGCTGGAGGCCGGAACCCCTCGGCGTCGTCAGGAAGAGGCAGTGGGGTCGTGTGGAGACACAGACGGAGTCGGCAAACCTGCAACACTACAGCCAAGCACAGGCACTGCAGGGCACCAGCCGTACTCAGGGAGGTCAGGGGGTTGAAAATTGTGGGCGAGGTACGCACAGAGAAAGCAGGAGTCATCAGAATAGCGAACGGGGCAACGGCTGGTTTGGAGAACACCATAGGCCAAGCCGCTGGATACCAAACAGACCAGAGCATTTAAACGCTGCCGAGCTGGAGGTGCCTCCTGGGGAAGTGTCGCTCCCAGGCCCGAGGTCCTGCCATGCGCCCGATGTCAGTTCCTCAAGCCACTGTGCCTCTGAGGCAGTGAGATCTGACTCAGGACAATTCCCGATGCCCCTGTGAGCTCCTTCCAGAGGACTGACATGCCCTTGAATGTCTTCTTTTTTTATGATTTAAGATTCATGCATACAAGAGCCGGGGTACAGGCCAGAGGTATGGGGGGTGAGAGGACTTCCCAGAGACAGAGTGGGGAGCAAAACAGGCAGGCTGACTGAAATACACTGAGAGGGGAGCAGCGGGTGAGGAAGGAGAGGTCTGCTGCACCATGTGCGTAGCTCCCTGGCTGGGGATGGAACTCCTGCTGCAGTGGCTGCCAACAGCTTCATAGTGCTGAGACTTAACTCCTGAGCCACCAGGGAAGCCCTGAATGTCTTCTTCTCTCTCTGACAGAAACTCGAAAATCAGCATCCAGAGACCCACGTGAAAGTACCCGGTGCCTGTCAGTAAACACCTGCCACCGCGCAGAAACAGAACTGAGTTAGCTGCAGCGCATTGCAGCTGAAGCCTCGGTGCCTTGGGTCATCTGCAGTCGTGTCTAACATGTGGCACCCTGCGCACAAAGAGCCTCCGGCCGGACTCAAGCTGAGAGCCAAGACCTGGGTGAGGAGCACGGCCTCAGTCAGCTGCTGTCCCGGCTCCTTCCCGGCCCCTGCCCCGGCAGCCTCAGCAGCACCTGACAGCACATTCCAGGGGTTCCATTCCCCGCACTGCATCCAGCACTGAGCTGCACTTAGCTTTACAGCCCCGCAGCAACTTGGGGACCAAGCTTGTCTTCACGCCCTTATTTTTTCTTGAATCTCTCTTCACTTGCCATAAAACCACGTTGTTGCTTATTATCCCAGCTGATAAGAATTCAGGACAGAAAGGATCAAAAATGAGAATTTGAGGCTCTGCTGGGCTTACAAGCGACTATTTAGTAGGTATCGTGTGTCTAGCGTATTGTCAATGTGTCTGGGTTGTGTGTGTCTGTGTGTGCCTGTGTGTTTGTCTTTTTTATGCTTCCAAGGATACAGGCAATGGTGACAGCAGGAATAGAAAAAGCCATGACTTAAGGACTTTGCCAGCAAAAGTAACTAAGTGCCATGCCTGGGAGCACACCCGCCTGGGAGCACACCGCCCCCCAGAAGACACGCACTCCTGGGGATCACAACATCCTGCGAGCACGCCTTCCTGGGACACACACTCCTGAGAGGCACACCTTCCTGGGACACACACTCCTGGGAAGCACGGCTTCCTGAGAGCACAGCCTCTGGAAAGCACAGCCTCCTGAAAAGCACCTCTTCCTGGAAGACACACCCTCCTGGGTACGCCCTCCTGAAAGCGCACCTAGCTGGGGGACACACACCCCCTGGGATACACCCTCCTGAAAGCGCAACTTGTTGGAGAGACATACCCTCCTGGGGCATACCCTCCTGAAAAAGGACGCCTTACTGGGAGACACATGCTCCTTGGGGGTGCACGCTCCTGAGAGCACACCTTCCTGGGAGACACACACTCCTGGGGGTACACACTCCTGAGAGCTCACATGCTTTCAGGAGTACACGCTCCTCAGAACACACCTGGCTGGGAGACACACACTTTCTGGGGTGCATGCTCCTGGGGGTACACGCTCCTGAGAGCACATGCTTCTGGGAGGCACGCCTTCCTGGGAGACACACCCCTGGGCACACAGGCCTGGGAGCTCACCCTGCTGGGAGCTCACCCTGCTGGGAGCACATGGGAAGGGCGGGGCAGCCACACAAAGGGGAATTTAAGCGGCAGCCACATCCCAGAGTCCAGTAATTGACCGGGTGGTTCTGTTCCTGGTCACACTGAACATGCTAATGACAAGTTCCCAGGGAGAGAGCTGCCCCTGCCCCCAGGGGAGGAGGGCAAGCAAGCTACAGGCCGCCCTTCGGAGCCCCTGGCCTCGCTGTCCTCGTTGCACTGGGCGCTGGCTAGGGAAACAGGGGGGTGGCTGCTCTGTAACAGGACTCCTTGCAAAGGATAAGCACCCGGCGTGCCGTGTCTGTAGCACAGACAACTGTGACCCAGCAGAAGCCACGGTCAGGCCACAAAACCACACATCAAATAAAATCCCATGAAGACTGCCATCGTTCACATCTGCATGCCTGATCTCGTCTGGAGACAGCCAGAACTGTAGCTAAACACGGATTGGCTATCAGAGGTGGCGCTTTCACGGCCAGATTCCATCTGCTTCTGCCCAGCCCTGTGATGTCCCTGGACTCACAGGGCCCCGATTTTCTGCTCTGGCCCCCACACCTCTCAACACAGCTGGCTGCTCGTCACCCAGCCCTGGCTCTGAGCCCTGCATCTCCCCTCCACAGCCACCGCTGACACAGGACGCAGCGCTCTGACCCCTGCCCACACTACTCCTGCCCCCCCACCCCCATTCCCGTCCCCAGGCTGTCAGCACCTCCCAAGAGGGCTCCACCCTGCAACACTCTAGACAACACGCAAATGCACTCGCTGCTTTCGCTCCCTGTGCAGGAAGGCGAAGGAAGGGCGAAGATGTGGGCGGACGAGACTGTCAGCGAGTAACCTTGTGCATGAACATTCCAGCGTCACCAACCACTCCTGCGCCTGCTCCGAAATGACAGCCTGCCTGCGACTGTGTGAAAAGGGTTAACGTTCAGCTTCTGCGGGCAAGAGGGGGAAACAGCGCCATCTTCTGGACGGCTCCAAGCCCATTCGCATCGTGATTCTGGGGTCCCCGGAGGCACCAGCCACAGCTGACCAGGGCCCTCACTAGGCGGTCACTTCCACTCACTGCGCTGTGTCCCGGCTAGGTGACATGGGGAGCAACAGTGCCTCCCTGAGACGCACCCCCTCACCCATCCGGGGTGGGGGGCGGCCGGCCAGGGAGAGCAGGCAGAGAGCTCTGGAGCGGGCCGGGAACAGCTGATGTCAGCACACGGGCCCACAGCTGCCACGGCCCTCGGCTCGGGGTGCAGAGGCACGGGGTCGGGTGTGATTCTGTGTGGGGGCTGAGGATACTCTTTGGGGGGTGGCTGCTGGGAAAAACCCAACTTTTCTTCTCCTGGCCTGCTGGTTTCCACCTAAGGTGAGGGCTTGGGAGGGGGAGGGAGAAGCCACAGCAGAGGGCGGCTCTGAACAGGACGGTGCCCCAGGAGGGGCTCTGCAGTGACAGGATTCAGAAAGCCCGCCCCCGGCAGCGCGGGCGTGAGCAGCAGCGGCCGTGTGCAGTGTGCAATTATTTCTCAGAAATCAGACGGCTTACCTGCCCAGAGGCCTGGCGGGTGAGTCACAAGTCGCTGGCCAGAGTGTGTGAAGCCAGAGAACACCAGGCCACAAGGTACCCTAGGCTGGCAGCCAGGCGCCAAGGGGACCCAGAGACCCACACGCCTCCGAGCGCAAGTCTGCACACCCCCTGTGTCTCCACAGACCTTCCGGGCCCCTGGGGCTCCCAGGGCAGGAGGGCACACATGTCCCAGGCTAAGTGCAGGCGGAGGCTCTTCTGGAACATGTCACCCGTAAAAGCAGATGAGGTGGGGGGAAGGCAGGGGAGCCCCAGATTGGCCATCAAGCCGTCCAGGGACCCATCCTTCCATCAATGGACAGAAACACTTCACCAGCATGAGTGCTGGTCTCCGCGCCCCTTAACCACGGCCACGGGTGACAACCCGGTGCTCCTTCCACCCCACCCATCTCCGTCCCCTCGGACATACTCTGACGGGAAGTGGGGGGGGTGTCAGATGTTAAACTCTGAGCCGTCCTCAAACTCACTGGCTAGAAAGCCATGCCC